CAACGTGGACGACATCCATTTACAGGACTGTCTCGCGTCGTCAGGTCAAATGGTTTATAAAGATGGCTCAGTGTCAGCGAGTGGCCCTTATCATGCAAGTTACTATAGATTTCCCCTTTTCGGCTACGCCAGCTGAGGTCTAGCACCTGGCATTTAGAGATTATTTCGGTTCGACGCCGTTGGTTTCAGTCGGATATATCTAAGTGACGGGCCTCTCCTGTGTCAAGGGTAAATTTTTTTTAGAGCCGCACTGCAACTGGTGTCAATAACGAAGTGCTTAAGTCGTCCGGCATAGTACTTGGTCACAGGTCGTGCCTTTTTGACCACAGATAGTCTGTGCCATTGCCAAGCCCTCAAAAGAGGGCCGTTCTCTTTCCTGACTTCAAGCATCGTGTGAATGTCATCACTTGGCTGAAGCACAAGGCTTGTCCAATCACGTGATCGGTTTGATTTTTGGTGAGGATATCATTCGAATGCTGTCTTCTGGGATACCAAAACAGATACTTTTAATGAGCAGATCGCTGTGTCGCACAGCGAAGTTGACATTCATCATCATCATTTTCCACTGAGCTGTGGATAAAAAGTAGTACTATAGATACATCGTATTCCCCTTGCCTTGACATCACAATCACCAGAACCATGACAAAATCGCATAGTACGGTGTGCCGACTACGACCCAAAGCGCCTGGCATAAAGGCCTTTTCTGTGTCAACAGCATGCCAGACTAGGGCCTAAGTCGTCAAAAGTCTGACACTGATGACAGCAATAAAGACTCACAAGTATAAACACTGTCGGCGTTCAAGTAAAACGTGGACCTGGCCCTGCGGAACGATGGCGACAGCATATCAACCAAAGATGTTAGTAGGGTAAGTGCGATGGAGGCGGGGGTATCTGTCGGTGCCCGGAAAATTAATGCCACAATGGCCATGACCTGGTATACACGTTCTTGACAATTGGCAACTCCTATGTAATACTGTGCCAGTGCTCGCTAGGCTAAGTCTGACATTGTTGGTGCATGGCAAGTTCTCACAGACCAGTATGTGATACGCCATCAGTTGTTCCTTCCAGAGATGTCTGCTTGCATACTTACCATTCGGCGTAGTCCGGATACGTCGGTTTCTATAGACACCATAGCACGGGTCGAGTCATGATGGGACTGGAATTTTTTTAAGGTTAGAGATCTCCATACAAGTTCGATTCCTAAGGCTCCAACTGGACCCTTGGATGAAGGTACAGTCTGGACGGCATCGATAGGAATTGATTTTTGGACACCATGGTTACCATGTCAGAATAAAGTCAAAGTACTCTGCAGTATTTCACAGGACGGTCATTTAGCCAGACCACGGCCTCCTGCTAGCACTGTAATTAGTAGTCACGATTGGTTATTTGCCAGACATCAATCTACTTACCAAGAAATTAACCTTAACTGATAGCGGTCCCAGTATCCGCCAGCCGTGGGTACAGTGTGGAAGAGAGCTACCCAAAAATAAGAATGCTTATTCTTTGCAAAAACATAGTGGTGGAAATTTAACCCAAAATGTGGAAAGTTTAAATTCGGTTTGCTGAAAAAATCTACGCTACAGAGGTGCAACATTGTTGTACAGCGGTAAGAGTTTGCTAGAAACGTTTCGCTAGACAACTTTATTGTAGATTTTTCAGATTTAGTCGATGCAAATCGGTTTATTGTTCTTTGCAGGATGTGAGTAAGTTCAAAAATCACCAAAGGGCGGCAAACAGGCAGCCAAGTTAGTAACATACATGGCTCAGGCTGTCAGTAAGCAGATGACCTTGAGGAGGGTAAAAAATTTGCCAGAGTCGAATTTAAAGATGCTTACAAGTACTTGGCTAGACCAGCGTGTTGTAAATGCAACCAAAAGCCGTGATATCTCCGTCTAGTTACACCTTGTGTGCGTCCCCAAGGAAGAACATAACAAGAAGAGCGCAAACGTAGAGGTATTTTAGCAGACTTATTACTGCTGTACTTATGGCAAGCAAAGCGTACAAGATTGGACCAATCAGATTCTGGTCTCAGGTGAGGAGCGACTGCATTGGCTTTGTGACTCATCCAGTTGGCCTGGCCGCAGCTGCGCGGCACCACGTGAACTGTGCGTGAGCGGACTGGTCGTATGGCGTGGAAACGACTCGTTTGGGCTGTGTGCGCACTCGGTTAAGTTGGCCCCTAACACAGTGCGGAGGTGGCCAACGTCCGCTGGCTAATCTCCCAAAAAGCCCAAATGAAGCCTGACCTGAAACCTGATCTTGAGCAACTACTACCCACGTAAATACTAGTCCATTAAACGCGCGCCACTTCATTAGATTACGGGTTATTCGTGTGTATCTTCAACTGTACGAACCAGAATGGGACGTCAATAAGATGAAGGCTTTGTTTGTCCTCTCAGGAACCCAACAAGACCATGATGGGCAGATTTTAAGGATAACAAAGAAAAACAAGCTGTATAAAGGCAAATAGCATCACATATCTAATAGTGAGAAACCCACAGTAGTTACTAGGATTCAAAAGCCCACCGCACACTTCGCTAAGATTATACTGGTGAGCAAGCAGTACTCATCTGAATGACTGCAGAAACAAGCGTCAGTATGTGGGCTCGCTTTCGTGGAAAATTAACTTTTATGGAGTCTGTCGCACATAGCAAGTATCACTTTTTGGGGGTTCATCCTACGAAAGCTCTGTTTTGATAAACCAAACGGTGTCCGAATTATGACTATGTGAACCCAGACGACATAGAACAACTATAGATGCATTCGCCAAACAAGCAGGCCCAACCTTCTAATGTCAAACCAGTGAGTAGGAATCTTGATGCACGCTGAGCTTGCACCCGGATGCAAGCTGGCTGATCTTGACTATGCCGATGATATCGCTTTACTGGAGTCAAGCT